AAAAAGAAGTACTGAGTCATGTGGTACACTCGATCCTCCTGTATGGAGCACCGGTGTGGCACGGGACTGCAGACAAAAAAAATACAGGAAAATACTTCAAAGACTGCAAAGGAGAATGATGAAAAAAGTAATCAGTGCATACTGTACAATCTCGTTTGACGCAGTGAATGTCCTGATGATCTAGGAAAGAGTCAGAGTATACCTACGAAAACAAAAAGGGGCGAATAAATCAAGAAAGTAATCAGGAGGGAAGAAAAACAGTGAACTAGAACTGCTTGGCAAAATGCATGGGACGAAATCATACAAACCGCGCAATGAGCGAAGACCTTATTAATACCAAGTCTTAATAGCTGGCTTATTTGTAAACACCGTCCAGTGAATTACTATACCATACAGTTTCTTAGTGAATGAACATGATTCATTTAAATAAATACATAGAATGGGAAACTCAATCTACCCAGACTATACAGTGAGCATCTTAAGTCTTACCCCCCCCTAACTAACTCATTACTGGGGTCTTGTTAGGAAAATTGCCGAGACAGGTCGATTTTTAATTTCTACAATGTACATTTTTGCATGATTAGTTAACCCTTAATTTCATCCCTTACTGGAGGGTAAAAACCCTTTCGAAAAATTTAAATGGCATGGGATGGTGAGTGATAGCTCATTTGAAAGGAGGTTTTATTCTCTATTTAACCGTGCAAAAAAAATTTGAAATTTGCATCATTACATGTTGATTTATTAATGTTTAAAAATAACAAAACCTCACAAAATAGGAAAGCAACTAGACTAACAGTGACCTTCTAATGGCAAAAAGTCTTACTTCACGTCTGAACCAAAACCGAAGTCATGCAGGGCCGAATTTTAATTCTAAGGATGAGTGCGCTACGTTAATTTCCGTTATTCTGAAACAACAATTAGTCGAGAATTAATGAAGCAAATTTCAAATTTTTTTACACGGTTGAATAGAGAATAAACCCCTCTTTCAAATGAGCTATCACTCACCACCCCATGCCATTTACATTTTTCGAAAGGGTTGCTCCCCTCCAGTAAGGGATGAAATTAAGGGTAAACTATTCAAACAAAAATGTACACTGTAGAAATCAAAAATCGACCTGTCTCGGCGATTTTCCTAACAAGACTCCAGTAACGAGTTAGATAGGGGGGGTAAGACTTATGGTGCTCACTGTATATACTGCGGTAAAGAGGATACATCCGAAGATCAGGTTCGTCCGTTGGACTAATGAAAGAAATAATATTGGTGAAATGAATGGAAATCTTACTCCACAAAACATTGTCGAGATTATGATAGAAAATTGGGAAAACTGGAGCAGAATAACAGAGTTTGTAAGGAAAGTCATGAAGAAAAAAAGGGGAAGAAGAAATACACTATCAGGAAATGGGATGGGAAGAACTTATATAAAACGGTCCGAGTGCACCGATGTAATAATCGAAATATTGGTCCCGAAAGGTGGAGTTTTAGTGGCGAGTCTCACACTCACACCTGTTTGTACAGGAGTGCGTAAATAGCATTTCTCCACAAAAACAAAAAGTACAAAACATTGAGTAGTAGGCATAACATTTTCAGATGTAATACCATTAGCGGTAAAATTTTCGATTTTAAAATTAACCTCGAGTTTTATTTGGTAATAAAATTTCACACAAAGTTGCATCCATTCCTTAGAACACGTTTTCGTTTGCAAAACTACCATTTAATATAGGTTGTTTTAGGTTTAAGGGTTTATGGTAAAACATGCTCTGTAAATGGTCAAAGGACGAACTTCGCCCATTATTTCAATTTTTTGTTTTGATATAAAATATATACCTATTATATTTTGTAGAAATAATAAAGACGTTAAAAAATCGCTAGAGTTTATTTTTATTTTTACATTATGATTTTATTACGTTTTTGTCTGCATTTTTATTGTGTTAGTACTTTTATTCCTAATGATACATATTATTATTGTACTTATCGGATTTATAATAAAATATCTTGCTAAAAAACAATTTTTAAATTCAATAATCGTACAATCTTCGACAAACACTATTTTTCTGTGTGCTGTCACACACGCTTTCAAAAAGATTAGGTAAGTATTTAATCACTTCTGTTCAAATATAGGTATGTTAAATTTAAGAAATAAATAAAATAAATATTGTTTCATTGTAATATTATCAATTATTCTATGATTAGATATGCCAGGATACCCTACAAGAAAAAAAACTTCGAAACAATAGTTGGGCTTCCATGGTGAAGATAGAGAAAACAGAAAACACGCATTTTATTCGCTAAGAAAACGTAGGTGTGAAATTTTCTTATTAATTTATATGATATGCAAAATATTTTTAATATAAATTCATACATAGCGAAACTTAACAATCTGTAGATCTCTTATGAAGCATTCGGACATGACTCTTAAATAACAAAAATATAATAGTAGTTTATGCTAACAAGAGTAGAGATTGTGACCAATATCTCACGAAGACGAAGTTTGAGATGATGCCGTAGGCGACAATTAGTTTGACCAAATTATTACTAATTTAAAATGAAAAAAAGGCGACCAGATAATAAGAAATATGAGCTGTAAATGGTGGATTTCGTATCCTTACTAGAATAGATATGAAATTATATCCGTGCGATAGACTGATATCGCTTATTTATTCGTTCTGTAGTTTGGACAAAAAATGGACAATATATCAACATGTGGATGTAGAAAAAAAAATTTGTCAATGAACAAAATGTTATATTCCATGTCATTGTATCAATAAAAACTAACTAGACATGCAGTGAGTGCAAAATATAGTAGTACATACAGCATTGCCATTGCGTTTATACCAGAAAATAATAATACCATTTCAATTAGACCGTTTCTTGTTTAATATGTTAATTCGTTTAATAATTACAATGGGGGAATTACGTCCGCACTATATACATATTCTTATTAATAATTAATATCAAAAAACAAGAATCTCTTTCAAAGAATGACCATTTACATAGTTATAAAACACGCAATTATAATGAACTGAATTAATCATTTTCTAAGCTTTGAATTGGACAGATCTCATTCATTTATAGAGGTATCGCATGTTGTAGTAGGCATACAAAAGCTACGTAAAATAAAAAAGTTTTATTGTTTTTACAAAGAGAGTCCACGCATATCTGCCCTCAAATCATATAATTCTTTTGAGGAATTTCTGAACCGAACTCGGTGGCATTTCGTTTTAGAGATAAACGTAGAGATGATAGATATTGAATATTATTCACGCATATGAACCTTTTATAAATAATATATTCGAGTCTTTATTTCAAAACACATGCATATCAGATATTTTTTATATTCTAAGTTATTTTTCAAAAGTCGGCTGTAGATAAATAATACAAAATGTATAGTATATTACATTACGAGTGTGGAAAGTGACATTTTTTACACTAGTGGGAAATATTGTCTGTCGCACGAGGCACAAGCCGAGTACGACTGTCACACGAGTGTGGAAAATCACTTTTCACACAAGTGATGTACAATATTTTTCCTACGACCCCAAAATAATTTCATCAAAAAATGTAAAACCAGGTTATTATTATAATAATTAAAATGCATTTAAAAAATAATCTACAATAATTATTTATTTAATTTTCATATTTTCTAAACAAAAAAAAAACTAAAAAAAAAAAATTCTGCACCTGCAACGATTTGAACGCGGTCGCTCTCCAGGTCTCAAATGGCAAAGTCGTTAAATTTTCTTACTCTAAACATCTGAGCTAATAGGCCTTGCGTCAATTGAATGATCTAATCGGTTATGTGTTTAACCAGAATAAAAAGCAAACATAACTTAGTATTTTAAAATTATTTTAATAATAATAATTGTTAAAGATAAATATCTAGGATCTAATTTACAACAATTTCAATAATTTAACAATCATATCGATTTTAGTATTAATATGGACATTACATAGATCAAAATAGAATTGACGCGTTTGACATTTTGTGACAGCTGATGCGGAAAGTTTCATATTCGTACACGGGTGGAAAGTAAATTCTTATTAATACAAGTGTGATATAGGGCACTTTCCATAGGACTATATAGTGTGATATCTGTCACTTTCTAAGTGGTCGTAGGAAAAAACTTTTCATTGAAGCTATATGAGCTCTGAATAAGTAAAGATGGACCTACCACTCAAAATATGAAATTTGCGAATTACCACGACAGTAACAGAAGAATGCTGTGGATTTAATAAAATAAACAAATGTAAAAATCAAACGAAGTTTTGGAAATAAAATTGAAGAAACAAAAAAGATTCGTAATAAGTATAATGAAACTTATAGCAGATGTAAATAACAAAGTATAAAAATCAAAGAACTAATAAAAACAGCAAAAAATTTATGGAAACAGGGTGGAGAACAGAACCGGCTTCACATGGGTGCTATTTGGGGCTATAGAACTGGGGGCAAATCATAAATAGGCAAATAGAGCGATGCGCAGGGAGAGCGATAGTAATGTTAGTAATATTATCATTAATAGGTACAATATTTGTATTACTCGTACTTCCTCTCACTCTTAATTTAATTAAGTTGGCACGACTGACTTCGGATGTCTCCTGATATTTGGCAACGCTGCAAGTTTTTTTTTGAATAATTTCTTTTTTACTTTAAATTTTTTTGATTTTTATTGGTATTTAGTGTAAAATTTAGGTTGGTGTTATCACGTTTTTTAAGTTCTGGTCCACTGATTATTTATATAGCTCCCTAAATTTATTAGGACGTTCAATAATTCCCATTAATTTAAATGCAATGCGAGCTAAAGACGTATAATGCTTCCATTTTGAAATTTTTCTTTTCTTTTTGTTTATAAAATTCACTGGTTTATGTAAACAAGTTTTTTTATTTGGTACTTAACATGATAAAAATTACAAACGGATGGGGTCCCTGAAGGACCTCATGCAGTACCTACTTTACGTAATAAAATATAACGTATTAGTTTAAATAATAAACTAAATTGCATACCTTTCCGACTCCATTATCTTTATAATCCAATTTTCGTAGAAATGTGGGAGGAAGGGGTGGTGGACATCTCTGGAGTATTCCTGAAAATCCAGTTCCTTCCGATTCACTAAAACTGTATCGTCTTAAATTATGTGGGGATGATGCATGCTTTTGAACAGTCCTGAAATAGAAAAATGGAAACATAAAAAATGAATAATCTTTTTTCATAAATGAGTAAATTTTGATGGTCTTGTGTGTTTCATAATAAAAAAATAAAAATTGCACTATTATGAAGGCGTATTGAAATTGTATACGGCCAATAATTATTATTTTTACTTCTCAAGGGGCCGATTCCACCGTTATGTTAAACGAAGTTTAAATTACTAAATGAAGATTAAAATGACATTATTAATGTAAATAATATGTCATTTTAAACCTGATTTACCTAACTACTAGCGGTGGAATTGGGCCTAAGTGTAATAAATAGTGTTCTAAATCTATGTGAATGAAGTTAATGCCCTTTATCTACTTTTTTCTTAGTTTTAAGAATTTTTCCAAGGATCCTTTGAAATAAAGATGACTGTCTGCCGTGATTGGACAGATGAATATACCTCTACTGCTAGTGGGCTGGCGCGTACCACGGTTCGTAAACTGAAACGGTGGCCTCATCATGTCGCTAAGGACAGAGGTGTGACGTCACAGAATAAAGAATCGAGATGACAGAAAATATTCTGCTGAATCTAATATTTTATTAATATTTAGTTAGTTAGTCTTCGTGTCCGAAATATGAAGATATAGGTATAAATACTTGGATATTATAAGTACTTTTTTATTCTATAAATAGAAAGTAATTTGCTTCTAAATCACTAATGAACTGTAGTAACAAACTAAACAAGAATATCACATTATTTATGTATTTTTTATTTACTAAAAACGTCCCAAAAAATATTGAATGTTTATTATTGGAGTATATATCGCTATGCTAAAACAATACTAGAACAACTTAAATAATGTGAATTTTGACTATTTTGAGTTATCCAGATCATTATGATCTAAAAAATGTCTTTCTAGTTCTATAGTCAGGTATAAAAACATTCATTTATTTGAGCATACATTTTATTTAGTTTTTAAGTTAATACCTAGTAAGACATCCTACATTTTTGTTGGTGAAATAGGATATTTTAAGATGTCCTACTGTTTTCTCTAATTGTCTAAAAAGTCTAGAACAATACAAAGACTGTTTTAACAAAAAAGAGATATATACCTTTAATTAAACACACAATTAGTCAATTCAATTATACGATAACTTACAGCAGAAATCCCGAAAACTTCTAAAAATGTGTTTAAACCTGTTTTTATTAGAACAAGGACATCTTACAAAATAATTATATTAAAAAAGTCGGCACCTAATAACATTGACGATAGGTTTTTTATAATATATATTATACAAATCACAACGAAGTACACAAAATGACATTATTAATAATTTAAGCAATAAAAAAGTTAAGTACAATGATGACATTAAAAGTTGAATTTCTTGAAATTACTTTTTTAAATTGTCCCAATATTTACTTACTATTATTCTTGCACAATGATATTATATGAATGTGTATTGTGTGATATCCTATATTTTACGAATAAAATAATATATTTTTTGCAGGTTTCTGTTAACAACGATTCCAAGAACTTTTGAAAATATTATTAAAACGGCCTTCACAAATATAATTCTCAAGAGCTTTTGATCTAACATAAAATATTTATTCTCCAAAAAGTTACAGCTACGTAAGAAGAAAGTTTAACAAGACTTGCCTCTTACCAGACCCAAAATATCAAAATGTTACCAACCAATTGATGATTCTCCTGGTTTCCATAGTGAAATTCTCCTCGAAACTACTAAAACAAAAAGTAGCAAAGGCAACCGAAGAAGGCAAAAAAGTCTTTTGCAAAACAAAAACAAGAAATTTGTTCAAGAATTTAATTATTGTTTGAAGATCCATTAATAATTTTTGATAACGTTTTAAGATTATGAAGTTCTATATGTATTTTCCTCTTTGATAACCTATATTTAAATTTTTATTAGGACCAACAATAAATTATACTTTTCATTTTAACTACAAAAACCCTCATACAATTAAAAAGAGGGAAAACGTCAGATTAGTTATATTCAGGGATCATCAACTCTTTAAACATTTATCTACTTAAAATGTATTATTTTTAGAAGGTATGTCATTAACTTTCTATTTGTACATGTATTAATAATTTATTTCGTTTTATTTCTGTTTGTTGTCTTTTCAAATTGATTTTGATATTAATCTTATCTATTTCTGTTCTTTCATTGAAACAAACATTTATTAGCTTATTAAATATAATGAATTCACATTGTTTTATTATATGCTTGCAACTTTTACTACATTCTGAAGATTTACAGTGAAAACGCCGAGTCCTCTTTCACATATCCTGACCCTCTTTGACGGGGACTATGCCACTACTTTACATTATCAGCCTTATTTGTTATCCAGGGCAATTTAAATTCATTCGTAATTGCTTATTCTCACCTCTTCTCTTGTATATTCCGTACCCATTTTTCTTATTTTTACTTTTCCACAGCTTTAATTCTACATTACTATTCTGCAATATGGATCCATTTTTGTGATTTGGGTGGAACTGTATGAATTTGAAATTAATAACATTTTTAGAATTGGTAGAGATAAGACATCCACTAGTCCAACTCTTTTATCTTTTGTGAGGTTACTAAAGAAACAGGAGGTTCTTCAAAATTGCAGAAAACTGAAAAATACTGGTATTTCAATTACAGACGATCTGATTTAAGAAGATAAGGAAGATAGAAAAATATTAGTTGCTCCATTAAAGGAGGAACGAAAAGATAACAAGAAAACATACATAAAGGGTACCAAGATTGTTATAGAGGGAAAAATCTACTCAACAAAAGATATTGTAGATAAAAAACATAAAGAACATAGCTTTCCGCCACCCCCAGAAAGAAAAATAGCAAGTGAGCCGTCAACGCCATCGCTCAATGAAGTAGAAAGCGAAACTGAATGCACTGAAGAAGAACATCAAGAAATCATAGCCGTCAAGAAAGACGTTCAAAAAAATAATGTTCAATTAAAGAAAGATCAACAGAATAAAAGAAACAACAAAATCCACAAGTAGCACTCCAAAAAATAATTTATTAACGCGAAACCAAACTAAGAGAAATCTTATAAAGTAACCCTCGTAATTTACATTTTTAATTAAATTGGTTATCTATTTATAATTACTTTCTATTTTATCTTTTTAATATTGCCTTTTTTACTACTAGTAGGATTTCAAATATATTTCATGTGAAATATTATACTCGTTTTTAATAAATATATCGAGAAATAAGTAATAATTTTAATTTTTAAGTGTAAAACTTCATTAAATTTAGTTTATTTTGTTTTTCTTGTTTGTTAAATTAAATATGGCATTGGGAAAATTAGGTTTTGGTCATGTTAACGTATGTTCACTTTTACCTAAAATAGATGAAATAAGAGATTGGATTTTGAATAGAGATTATGACTTGTTTGGGATTTCAGAGTCGTGGCTGTCCTCTAATGTTACCAATGAGATGATTCAAATTAAAGGCTATACATGTTACAGAGAAGACAGAAGTACTAGAGGGGGCGGTATTTGTATTTATGTTAAACAACATTTGGTAACTAAAGTTATTAAAAATGTCACTTTTGATAACTCATATTATGAGCAAATTTGGATAAGCCTGACTATTAATAAACGTAAGTTTTGCTTTGGCACTATCTATCGTCCACCCCAATTAGACATAAATAAATTTATGAATTGTTTTGAAAATACTGTGTCAGAATTATCATTAGAATTTGATCTTATGGTTTGTCTAGGAGATTTTAATATAGATTTGCTCACCATGAGCAACACTACAAACTCGTTTCTATCCTTACTAGAAGGAGCTGATTTAAAACAAATAGTGGAAAAACCCACACGCAAAGACCGTCTTTTAGACTTCATCATTTTAAGTAATCAGTTAAAGTGCAACAAAACCAAAGTTCACGATATTAATTGCTCAGACCACTTTCTTACGGACTGTGTTTTAAATATTGAAGTATCAAAAGGTACTAATATTACAAAAACCTACCGCAGTTTTTCAAAATTTAATTTAATAAATTTTGAGGAGGATTTAAAAGCCTTAAACTGGGATCAAATTTACGAACAGCGTTGTATTAATAAAAAAATCAAAACTATTAACAATTTTATACACTATCTACTTGATAAGCACGTACCTCTCAAAACTAGTAACTTTAAAAAACCGTTTAAACCTTGGATTACTGAGAATATAAAATTGATGATTCAATTAAGAAACAAAGCACTTATCAAATATAAATCCACGAAAAATATTTCTCATTGGAACTATTACAAACAAGAAATTTTATAAATAATTCAATTAAAACAGAACAAAAAGTGTATTTAGAACAAAAACTTCGTAATTCTGACTCCTTAAAATTAGCTAAATGGCTAAACATGGAAAATCGTAGAAAAGCGCATGCTCTGGGTTTTTTTCATAAAATATTATCTACACATTCTCCGACATACCTCTTTGACAAAATTAGATTTAGGTCCGACATTCACAACACTTGTATGAATATACGTAGAGAGGATCTCATAGATATCCCTATAAACATAAAACATTTCAATTTCAAAATTCTTTCTCTTATCAGATTGCAAAACATTATAATGAAATTCAAAATGAATTTAAAAAAATGTCCTTGCCACGTTATAAAAAGCATATATAAGCTATTATTTGAAGAACAGTGCGTTATTTTTTCAAATCCTTTCAACTGCTAAATTAAACCCATAAATGTAAAAAATTGTAAACCATTATTAAGAAAACGTGATACAAAAAACTGTTAAAAAAATGTATAAAATGCAAAAAATGTTGAAAAAAATTAAAAAAAAAACCTGTTAAAAAAAGTGTTTTGTTGTGTTTGTATATACATACTATTATATATATTTTTTTGTTGTTCATCCGTGTTTTATATTTATACGAATTTTAATACATTTTTTTACTTTCATGTAGGCTTTTGAGGAAGAACAGTTTTTAACTAATCATAAGTCCTTTTGACCGTTTGTATGTTTTATTTACTTTGTAAAGTTGTTTGTAAATGGTTAATATAAGGTCAACAAAATTTATTATTATTATTATTATTATTATTATTATTATTATTATTTATACTATTTAATTTTAATCGTAAGTTACCAACCTATTCTTATATTGTTCCTATTATATTAACGATTATTGTATTATAGGCCTGAAGATGTCCCTGAGAGGCCGAAACTAGTCGCTCCTGTATTTATTTATAAT